AGTTCATAGGAGTCAAACTGACTTACTTTCCAATAGTCATTTGCTCGGCGAAAATGAAAGAGCTCATAATAGCAACTATGATCATGCCTAACGGATTGAATGACGTGACAAAAACTGGTCCTTTTTCCTTAATTATCACTCCCGATAGATAGTAAGTTATTCCAGAAGATACGACCCCCTATAGGAAAATAACAAATGTCACATAAATAATTACTAATGTTACGAGTGCATGTTTAATAATAATAATAATAATTTTACCCCATAGACATAAGCCACAAGCTTGGCATCCAATCCAAGGGCCCACACTGAAACATTTCCTCTCTCAACTAAGAAAGTGAGTATAGTTCCAAAGAAGGCTCCAAGAGAACAAACCATAGCAGTCAACGAACGCCCGGCCGTGTATGACTTCAATGTGATTGCCTGTATTTGCATTAAAAAAATAAGAACATGCACATTTTTAGTAAAACTATAAGGCCCAACAACAAATAAACCGAGTAATTGTAACTAATTATATTTTAAATATACCTGAAGAATGTAAAATGCAGAATAACCAATACAACCAACAGCGATCATAAGAGCTCCTTTAACAGGATTTTCCTTATCATTAGGATTTGCGGAAGCTTGATTATGATGGGATGCATGTGTCCATGGCAATCCAATTATAGGTCCGCTAATTAAAGTCATAATCATGGCTCCTCCAACAGTGACCAAAGTTCCCATAATCTTTGCATTACTGCGCAAGCTTTTGAAGTTCACATTTTCGATCCTGCAAAATAATTAATAATATTATATGAAAATTAAGAATGATTAATGTATGAAATTATTTTATGGGATGGATTAGAGGATAAGTACCTGAGAATCCAAGCCAATACGAAAGTAATAGCTGGAATGAGATTGCACAGTGCTGCAGCAAATGTGGCCGATGAATATTTCATGCCGGCATAGAACATGTTCTGACCGATAACCGGACTGTTAATTACAGAAGTCGACAGTTTGATATTATTACACATGAAATAAAAACAAACAATTCTAATTAATTATAAGTTGTAAGTGATTACTTACTCAAGTAAGGCAAGCAGCAATATCTTCCAGAAGACACTCCACGTCATTGTTGGCCTTGTTTTCCTGTTGAATTCGGCATAACATTTTAGAATCAGCAAGTAAAATAAAATATAATGAAAAGATAAGTATATGGTGTATTTGTAATTAATGAATATTATTATAAGATGATGGACCTCTCGAAAATGATGGCAAAAGGAATGAAAATGGCAGCCGCAATTGCATTTCTGTAGACGGCAAACGTGTAATTACTACTGCCTTGGTTTAGAGCAGCTTTTGCAACTATACCAAAACCAGCAGACCCAAATTGCAAGAAAATGACTCCCACATAAGGCCTTGCTTTCGAAGCAGTGCTCGACTCGATTATCGTCATGCTTAATTGGGCACTTCTTTTTCAGTGGTTTGTTTTAATTAATCCAACTCTAATATTTGTATGTTAATTGTGTTGTTTGCTAGGCTAGCTGAGAGAGTATATATATATATATATATATGCAGGTGAGTAAGTGATAGTTTGATTTGTGTTGTTTGCTTTATATACAAGTGTTTTTGGAAACCTGAGGGGAACCTTCACAAACACGACTTTTCAAACTGCGTACAAAAAGGGAATTATGTACTTCACTTAATCACTAGTACGTGTGT